TCTAACGTGTAAAATAAACACTTCACGGGTTCCCAGAACCTCTTGGACTATATTCGATACGATAAAACGTATCTTATTTTCAACACATTCAAATATAACAAAATGCCAGTAAATTAGTAACTATAAATGAACGAATAAACAATAAATGAATAATCTATCTAGCACTTTCTACTATGATTAACCATGTTTGTAATACATTTTAATTATTGCTAATGTACTTCCGAATGTTACATGTCGTGAACAATTAATGTAACATTGTAACAATATGATTTGCACAAATTTTTCAGTTATATGTAAACTTACGTAAAGTTGAGGAGGGGAGGGGGTCAGACACATGATTGAATAGGTATATATATTCTATCACATAGCAGCACTGATGATGATTAATAATTATTATATAGTTCAAAAATAACAAATAACAAATAAGGTAGGACTAATTTTACACGCTAACACTATCTCTCTTACACTCTTTGATAGATTGTCACGCTGGAAACTCACTGATCTCTCACAACACTTTGATACTCTCAATATCACACTAACAACTTATACGCCTTTCGACTTCTCCTTATCTGGTTTTTTCACCACTGATTTCTCCATTACTGCCACTTTCTGTGCTCTCTATACTCTCTATACTTTGACTTGCCCGCGTGCTTGCACCCGTATTTAAACCTTACACTCCGACTTATTTTATACTCAAGCTTTCTTTCTCGATCACGTATTTCTCACGCATCCTCGTCTCCATAAATATCCCTTTTACAATCGATCCTCTCGCACTCGTCCTTTGTCCCAAACACTCTTAACATCGTCTCAGGTCCTTACTCGTTCAATTCCTACACTTATATAGTTTCACAGTAAATTATACAACTGTACGAATGCGTACTACGGGTTTATTTCTACTATTTTGTTAATTTTTCGCGATCTTTATATAAACAAAATGATTATTTTTACATTAAGTGTAATATATTTGTGTAAAAAATATTATTTAATAAACAGTATTACCTAGCATTTCAGTTGTAATTAGTCATCGCACAAATACTTTTCATACACACCATATATGTTGAATTCATATTACTGTATGGTTTCCAGAACTGTAGATAATTTAAAAAAATGTATCTATAAAGTAATTTACTATTTAAATAAATTATATTGCTAATAAATACATTATCGTATTGTTAGATGTCTAACGATTCGTCACTAGAAGGGCCTAGCTAATAAACGCAGACCAATTTCAGAGTCCAAAAACAATTGACTTATTCCTACTTTCACTAAGGGTCAATGGTCATCTCCACTCCACCAAAAACTAACATTATATAAGCACCTACAAAATTTGCGAAAGGTCAATTTTTTCCCCTCCGCCTACTTGTATTTTTCCAACGTAGCCTTCTTGCTAGAACCCGTATTGTACATTGAAATCCGGGTTCCAACAGTATTCGGGACGAAAGTTATACTGAGACAAGTATATAAGTACATCCATACCTCTGAATCTATTTTATCATACGTTTAGACATATAAATTATCACTATACGAGAAAAGCAAAACTTCGATGCTTCGAAGGTAACATAACTGTGGGTAGAATGGACAAGAATATCTTTCACTATTACTAACCCCTTGACTATGACAGATTTTGATACGCAGCGGCCGTATTATATGACAAGAATTGAGATACGATGTGCGCCATTTTTGTGAAAACAAGCGCCCTCTGTGTCAGAAAGCGAAACTACGCCGAGCACCTATAGGCGACCTTCGTGTTCCAAACGCAAAATATCTAAGCACCTATAGGCGCTCTTCGTGTCACAAACGCAAAATTTCTAAGCACCTATAGGCGCCCTCCGTGTCATAAACGCAAAATTCCTAAGCGTCTATGGGCACCCTTCGTGTCACAAACGCAAAATTTCTAAGCACCTATAGGCGCCCTCTGTGTCACAAACGCAAAATTTCTAAACGCCCATAAGCGCACTCCGTGTCATAAACGTAAAATTCCTAAGCGCCTATGGGCGCCCTTCGTGTCACAAACGCAAAATTTCTAAGCGCCTATGAGCGCCCTTTGTGTCACAAACGCAAAATTCCTAAGCGCCCATAGGTGCCCACAGTAGTCAAGGGGTTAATAATAAACGCAAAATAATATTGTAGGAATGGTAAGCGTGACGTGATTAGGACATAAGATCACCGTTTGTGACAGTGCCCTTTTGTCTAGGTACGACTGTAAAGCGCATGGGAACGCTTAGGCCATTCCTCGAAAATACGGGATAATAAACAGCGGTCTCGGGTTTGGCTCGAGCGTTCGGGGTATTATCTGGAGTGCGCGCGGAAGGATGAGTAACCGCGCGCAAGGATCGTATGAATGGAGTATCTATGGAAGTATCGGTTGCAAGTGAAGAGTGGAAGTCTAGAAATGGGTCTGATTGTTTAGGCTACGTGACCCTCTGAGGGCAAGGCTATGAGAAGTGCGAGAGAAAAGCGCGATTGAGAAAGAGAGCATGAGTATGAAAAGAGAGTGCAAGGTTTAACCCTTTGCACTCGACGATTTTTTGGCTAGAGAAGAGTAGAAATTCAAGGATTCTCTACTGAAATACGGACGATACCTTTTTGAGTAGTAAATAAAGAATTGTAGAATTATTTGATTTCGATTCCTCGCACACTGTTACATTACGTTAAATTTGATATATTAATTAATATCGATTTTCCAAGTTTTATGAAATGGTGACTGAAAGTCACCTCTCGAGTGCAAAGGGTTAAATAAGGGTACAAAGGCGTGAAGCGAAGAGTTCTGAGGATACAGTTCATTGGGAGATAGTCAGTGTGAAAGGTCATAGCGTTTAGAATAAGTCTCTAAATTAGTTCTCAATTAATCATATTTTCATTATCTAGCACCGTCGTTTAGCTGCCACCTAACAATTCCTACAATATACTATTCAAGTAATAAGTCAATTCACTCTTTCTAGAACTTGCTTCTCTCTCTCTCTCTCTCTCTCTCTCTCTCTCTCTCTCTCTCTCTCTCTCTGTGTGTGTGTCTCCCCCCCTACCCTCCCCCCTCACACACACACACACACTCTTTATCACAATTTCATTGCGGTATTAATTTCTCGATAATTCAATGACGACTGTTTCATTCTGGCACATTCTTGTAAACATTTTTCTAAACATCATTCACACTAGACGGCATTTGCACATATTATATTTACATCATATATTGTACATTTGTAATCAAAGGAGTCTCACTCATTCAACTACACTCACAGCCACACACATAACATCAACACTCACCCGTAACTTCCTTAAGTCATATGAGGAACATGCATCAAAATTATTGGGAATACGCGATGAGTGCGTAATAGCGGTCATGATAAATACCCGAAACGTTTACATAGGACGCTAATAATGCGAGGAGTACGTCCACGCCTACTGTAATAAATCAGGTAAGCCGCTACGCAAACGCAAATACGTACAATGCATATTCACAGTTTTACCTTAGCATTTTGGTCACTATGCAAATAAACGTGGCACCGACAGTTGTGTATGGATATGCATACAGAATGATATATGCAAGTTCTTGAACTGATTACGTGTATTTGGAATACTAATGGACCTTGTTAAAAAGAGTATTAATTCTACAGCAATTGTATTAATTGTATTGCTGCATTTGAAATATTTGCAGCGTAAAATATCGGAAATGAATTGATTCTAGAATTAATCGTTTCTTGAATTATAGAAATTGAAGTATATTATCTCAGGAGTTTATACTATGGAAGAACATAAAGTATTTAATCGAAATATCTAACGTTACGAACTTATTGCAATTTATTGTAACAATTTTAAGAGATTGAATGTATAAGTGTCTAAAAGTGTTGTGTCTTACAATTAGCAATCAGCTGAAAATTCTACATCTTTGGATCAAGAAATATTGTCGCAAAATTGACCTTGATTTTCAGTCACATTTTGTATGATCCTGTCGAATTCTACACAATTAGAGGAACAAACTTGCAAAAGGAATGAATCATAAGTCACAACCTAATCGTTTTTATCGAAAGTGATAAAAAGGTTTTATTATTATTTAAGCCAATTATATTCACGAAATATTTGCATTTCGAATAAAACATAATTTATGTTATCATTTGACTGTTTGTTAATTCAGATTAATACTGTAATTATAATAAAGTCAAATGTCTCAACGCTTTTCATATATCTGTTAAGTAATAGTTAATATTACCTTTTAACATGAAAAAATGTTGATATTTGAGTTCAGTTGGTCGTACAAATTTAAAAAAGAAAATTTCTTATAAAATATCAAGTTATCGATGAAGGAAATTTGAACCTATAGGTGAATAATTTACATTAATTTAATATTAAGTATGTAAAAACTAATTTGTTCAATTGAAAATTTACCATAAAAAATGGCAAGTAAATTGGAATAAAACTTGTGTAACTTTCTAATTTTTACGAAATTAGTTTAATTTTCTAATCTTAAGCTTCAACTTAAAACACTAAAAAAAATTATAAAAAGAATTTGATTTTTTCAACTACTGTGATTTCTTCCTCTCAGGCGATTATATATTTTATATGACAATGTAATATGTATTAAATATCAGATCTTATTTAGTGCCAGTAATTATAAAAGCAGTTTAAATCACATATGTCGGCCTCCAAAATATGAGAAACTTAATTTGAACATAATTACGAATTCGGTGTAATAGTTCTATTTATTACTACTTTGCAAAAGTAGTTTTACATTATCGTAAAGCAAATGGACGTGATACAATATAAGCGAAAAATGCACCTCTTTTAAATTTTGAACTTTTGACCAGTTTCATAACTACTACCGCAATTTTCTTTTTCTGTAACTCGTCATTCTACCATATTGCATTGTTCACTTTGAATTAATATTTGGGTAAATGCTTTTACATTTCATATTTCAATGAGAGTTTTATACATTCATAATTGTTCCAATTATTTCTAATAATATGTATGTTATTCAGATAAGTTAGATTAATAAACAAAATTACCTGCTCAATCTAATAGTACTCTTTGTTTCACGGACCATGAGTGCTTGTTCCCAAAAATGCACGGCTTCAGGTAAAATAAAATTCTGTAATAAAACAAAAGACATATTTTAAATATTATTCATAAAGAACTGCCTGTAGAAAAACTTTAAGTTAGTAAAACAGATAAATACATACATATATCACGTATACATATACGTATTTAAATGCTCGTTGAACTGATAAACGTTCGCGGATAAATGTATAAAAATTTCTTACTATTTGCATTTATAAAACTATATTAAATTAACTGCGGTTATATTTCTTGAAAAAGTTATGACAAAAATTTTACCTGTAGTTTAATTCACCTTTCAACTCTTTGAACTTTTTTGTCGAATGTAACTCGACATTGATTTCATTCACAGATATATTTATTTCGAAACATGCCCATTATTTGTAAGTATACAATCAATATAATTAGAAAATAAAATTTGTTTAAATTGAAGTGCAACTTTTAAAATGCATTCAAATTAAAATATTTTATCTTCTATATAGGAAATAAAATTAAAAAGTAATTGAAGGTGCAAAGAATTTAATTAAAAATTTAGAGAGAAATTTAAAGTAGCAACTTTGTATTACTGCACCCTAGATGAAGCGCTATGTATTATCTACTTAATAGTAATAGATGTATGATAAATCTGAAACAGTAGTCATTTGCATATTGTAGTGTATCGACAATAAGTGAATGCTGGTTGTTCTCCTTTGTGACTAACTACCCCATTGACCTGCATCCTCAATTCGCTAGTCCTCAAATCCCCGTAGTGTGAAGTGCTTGCTAGCCCATGGGAACTGTTTAATGGAATGAAACAGTCACTGATTTGCTGATGAGATACATATCTACCATATTTTCAGATAAATACTAAAATTCCTGGTTTACGATACACTTGAATGCTATTCATTTAAACGCTGATTATGGAAATTTCGGTTATCCAAGTATATAATGTAACACGTACGTATGTATACATATACGTTAATTGAACAATTAGAAAATTTAGTACAAAGTATTCCTGAATTTGAAAACTGTTATACACACTTTATAGTATATTTATATAGAATCGTGTACTCGATTAATGAATAAGTATGTTTCAAACTTTTTATTA